GCCGCTGCCGCCGCTCTGCCTGGTCCAGCCACCGGCCCAGTGCTCTGACTTCGCCGGACCGGGGAGCTCTGCAGAGACACCCTCACTCCTTCCCCAGGGTCCGGGACGCCTAGCCGGGCGTGGGGGGAAGCTCCGTTTGCGGGGGACAGGGAGGGAGGAGCCTGGAGCCGAAGCCAGCGCCACCCGTCGCCGGATCAACAGGACAGGACAGGTTGAGGGGCGTCGGGGAAAGGAAGAGGGGGTGCTATAGGCAATCCCGGGGAGGACGAGGAAGCCCTGTCGCAGGAAGCTGTGATCCGCTCTGACTTGTAGGGGGCCTGTTCACATTTGGGGACTGGTGACAACGTGGGTGCACTCCTCTCTCGGGGGGCTGGTTAGATTGGAGGGCGTGGGATCTAAACAGCACCAGCTGTCCCCAAGAAAATTTAAGGGACAGCCAGGGGAGAAAGAAAAAAGCAAACACGGATGCTCCTCATTTTGAGGTGGCGGAAGGCCCTCCAGACAACTACCTGGTGTATCCACTAGGAAGGGTGGATTTGGAGGTGACTTCAAAAGGAGCGGAGGGTGTGAAGGTGAAGAAAGGGTCTTGGCCGCTAGAATTCTATGCTACTAGACATGGGGGTGACTTGGTGAAAAAGCTGTTATCCAGCCAGAGGGTCTGGGAGCCCCGTCTTACTGAATCTGGGCAACCTGGATACTCTGAGACATATTTTGGGGAGATTTCAGTGAAAAAAGTGGGGGATCCCCTCCATTTAGAGTGTAGCAAAGGAAAAAATACCAAGGTTGGGTTCCTTCCTGACATTGGCAGTGCCCCAGTAGGGGTGGGATGAGCGAATATCCCCAAAGCTAAAGTCCCACACCCTGTAGATTACAAGAGTGGATTTGGTAGGAGTGTGCCCCAAAATACAGTGGAAAGGCACCTGGAGATATTTTAACCACGTCTTGGAAATTTGGGGGGTCTTGGTTTTGGGATAGGTGAAGTGGGGACAGACACTGGAGAGGAGGGAAAGGGGACGTTTTCAGTAGGAGGCAAAACTCGAGGGTGGGATCCACTGAGGAGTACATAGGCTGCTGGATCCGGTGGAGCCAGCACTGGGCCCACGGGTGGCAACTGGCTGCTGTGGAGGGGTGTACCTGGGGTGGGGGGTTCTGGGGCTTATCCTCAGGTCCTGTGGGTGGGGCAGCGAGTCGGGGCCTGAGCGTCAAGAGCATGCCCTAGTGAGCGGGCTGGAGCCCAGCGCGCTCCTGGCGCTGGCCGGTTTGGGGGTGTCTCCTCCCGGGGCGCCATGGCGGCGCTGGCCAGTAGCCTGATCCGGCAGAAGCGGGAGGTCCGCGAGCCCGGGGGCAGCCGGCCGGTGTCGGCACAGCGGCGGGTGTGTCCCCGCGGCACCAAGTCCCTTTGCCAGAAGCAGCTCCTCATCCTGCTGTCCAAGGTGCGACTGTGCGGGGGGCGGCCCGCGCGGCCGGACCGCGGCCCGGGTGAGTGCGGCTGGGGCGGGGTCTCCCGGCCAGAGGTTTCTCTGCCTGGGAAATTGAGGCCAGGGACTCTGAAGGATAGGGCCCGGCTGAGGGGCTCCTCGAAAGTGGAAGGGGGTGGGCCAGGACGACAAAGTCCCTGCCAGACTGTGCCTCAGTTTCCCTTCTTTTTAGTCCATAACCCGGAGTCTCCTTATTTTCGAGGTCAAGGGGAAGGCTTGAGGGGCTAAGTCTGTATCCCCGAAAGCCTCGCAGTTCCTGCTTGTCCCCCCTTCCCAACACAGCAGTCCCCACCCCCATCGTCCTCCGCCTACGTGCCGGTTCTCGCGATTCTTTCAATCTGGAGCGGAGAGGCCTGGGGGTTTCCAGACGCCTGGGTCACCCCAAGGGTTTCTGCAGCTCCAGCAGCACGCCCCCCCCCAGCCCCTGCCCGCCCCGGTTCTCCCGCTCCTCCACGCCTGGGCTCGGTTCCTCCTGGTCGAGCTCTCCTGGCTCCGAGCCAATCTCCCCAGCTCTCCCTCGGGTGTCCTTGCAGCTACCTCGCCAGCCAGCCCTCTATGCGCCCTCCTCCCGTGACCTGCGCTTCAAGAACGGAGCTGGGCACCCCCTCCCATAACCCCCGCGCCACTCCGGAATCGGGTCCCGTAGGCTCAGGGGACCCTACGCTGGGAGGAACTCAGACACAGTTCACTGCTAGAGATGGGCGCAGACTCTTGGGGGTCGTACCACCTACAAGGGGGGACAGGGAAGTCGGCAGAGAGCAAGCGATGGGGGAGGAGAGTTCTGAGAGTTAGAGTGTGGTCCCCGTCCAGGTGCGACAGTCAGGGAATCCCTCTGGCCCTGCTCCCGCCCGCTCCCAACTCCCTTAAGGGTAGCCCCCTCGCGCCCTCCTCCCCGCGCCACCGGCTGCCCATAGTGGTACAATCCGCAGCCCACCCTCTGAGTGGGACCGGGCCCCCACGTGACTCAGCCTGCCTTTCCATCTCCTCAGCTCCCACCCCCCATATCCTTGGTGATGTCCCCCTTACCCCAGGCGGGTTACCTGGCCGAAGGGGAGAGGCTGAGCCTCAGGGAGAGCTGGGCCCCCGCGAGCCAGCAGACAGACAGACAGACGGGTCAGTGTCAGACAGACCGGCACTGGGCCAAGGCAAGGCTCTCGCCAAGCTAGCGGCAGCCGCAGCAGGTGCTGAGTCAGCGTCAGGCCCAGTCCCACCCCCACCCCTGAGGGAGAGCCCCTACCCTGTGGTCAATTTGCTGCTGCCACTGTCCCCCACCTTCGCAAACACGCTGCCCCTTCAGTACCCCTGCTGGTCTCCCTCTGTCCCTGCCTTTTGATATATCTCTCCCCTCCCTCCTCCCCCACTCCTCCCCGCTTCTGGTTAAGCTGTAGGGTAGGAATTAAGCCATTTAAATAAATTTCAATAAATTACACTGAAAGCTCCTGGTTATAGGAAGCAGAAGGGACCCACATCAGCTTTCCCAGGAGTGAAAGGGAGGTGGGAGAGAGCGTGCTTGGAGGGTAAGAGAGCTGGGGCCCTGGGACCCTCTTCCTTCCTTTCATTCTCCTTTCATCCTCTGATCCTGCCAAGTGTAGGAATGTTTCTGGGAACAGAGATGTCATTTTCAAAGATGAATGTCTCTCTCTCCAGAGCCTCAGCTCAAAGGCATCGTCACCAAACTGTTCTGCCGCCAGGGTTTCTACCTCCAGGCGAATCCCGACGGAAGTATCCAGGGCACCCCAGAGGATACCAGCTCCTTCAGTGAGAGGGGAAGCTGGCCGCCGGGTGGGAAGGGGGAGAATGGGGACAGCAGATGACAATCCTATTCCCTCTTCAGCTTCTGTTGCCATTGGTCCGTCTTCCTGACCCCTAAGGGAAATTGCGGAGCTGGGATGAGGGGAGCTCAGGTGAGGGTCAGAGGCCTGGGTATTGATGTTCCCTCTCTCCACCCCCAGCCCACTTCAACCTGATCCCTGTAGGCCTCCGTGTGGTCACCATCCAGAGCGCCAAGCTGGGTCACTACATGGCCATGAATGCTGAGGGACTGCTCTATAGTTCGGTGAGACAATGAGGCTGAGTGGCTGGGGAATACCGGGAACTCCCCTTCCTCAATTTATCCCTTGAGGGAATGACAGTCTTCCTCAACTACAGACATTTTGCCCGGGACTCCTCCCTCCAGCTTTTGCTGATGGCCTGTCATCACTGCCCATTCCGGACCAACTCCTCTAGGGTCTCTCCAATGCCCACTCCTTGCACACCCCCAACACAGCCCCAGGCTCTTTGAATGTCCAACTCTTTCTGCCTTTTAGGGCCCCTACTTCTCATCCCATCTCCTCCAGATTTTGTCATTACTCACTTCCCTAGAGTCATCCAGGATAGGGGATAGTGAGAAATTGGGAGTACAGTGGAGAGAAGGAATCTTATTCCAAGACCCCTAAAAGTCTAGTTGTTTTTTTTTTTTTTTAAATAGTAACAGGGTCTTGCTATATTGGCCAGGCTGGTCTCGAACTCCTGACCTCAGCTGATCCACCCACCTCAGCCTGCCAAAGTGTTGGGATTACAGGCATGAGCCACTGCGCTTGGCCCAGAGCCTAGTTCTTAGCCCTCAAGGGCCCACCAGGCCTCTTCCTTGTCCTCCCTTTGCTCCCAGGTCCTACAAGGACTCAGAAGTTGCCCTCCCCCTCCCCCAAAAAGCATATGGATTATATCTATCTATCCTGGCTTGTGCTTTCCATGAGCTCCCTTCTGCCCAGTGATGTGTCTTTTTATCTCTCTGTCTTTGTGTGCCTTTCTGGGTCTTTGTCTCCTTAGCCGCATTTCACAGCTGAGTGTCGCTTTAAGGAGTGTGTCTTTGAGAATTACTACGTCCTGTACGCCTCTGCTCTCTACCGCCAGCGTCGTTCTGGCCGGGCCTGGTACCTCGGCCTGGACAAGGAGGGCCAGGTCATGAAGGGAAACCGAGTTAAGAAGACCAAGGCAGCCGCCCACTTTCTGCCTAAGCTCATGGAGGGTGGGTATAGACTCAAGAAAATGAGGACCACAGGAGAGGGTATTGACCTTGATATGGACATTTAGGGGCAGACAGCTCAGGCTACAAGTGATAAGAGGACCCTGTTATGACAGATCAAGCCAGGAAAGCTTTGCCCTTTGGGGGTTTGGGGTGCTCTCCTCCTGTGGGTTGGGGTTCTGGGAGGGTGAATGTACGGGAAGGGAGCCCTTTCAGAGCACTGATTCTGCCTGGTCCCTCTGTGCCTAACTCTCCTTCCCTGCTCCTCTTTTTCTCCCCTTCACAGTGGCCATGTACCGGGAGCCTTCTCTCCACAGTGTCCCTGAGGCCTCCCCTTCCAGTCCCCCTGCCCCCTGAAATGTAGTCCCTGGACTGGAGGTTCCCTGTACTCCCAGTGAGCCAGCCGCCACCACAACCTGTCTCCCAGTCCTGCTGTCACCCTTGCTGCCACACACATGCCCTGAGCAGCCAGGTCCCACCAGGTGCTCTACCCTGAGGGAGCCTAGGGGCTGGCTGTGACTTCCGAGGCTGTTGCGACCCTTAGATCCTTGGGCCTAGGAGGGAGTCAGAGAGGGGGATGTCTGAAGATGGTCCTGGCTGATCACTTCTTTCTTTCCACACTCACACAGCCCCATGCCTTTTCCTGAGATGGCACTGGGAGTTCCCAAATGGACAGCCAGGGCATAAACATTTCCCACCCCGGCTCAGCCAGTTCCTGGAGTCTCGTGCCCATTTTCGTTGCCACTGAGCCATTTCTAGATTTACTGAAGCTCAGGATTCATGTGTCCTTCTTTCCCTACTCAACATTCTGCCTTGGTCTGGACACATTCTGGAACACTGGACACCCTAGCCAGGGCCACTTCTGCACCAGGGCTCTGTGCTGGAACCCAGGCATGCTGCCAGCCTTTGCTCTGGATCCATCAGGCTTCTGTCCGTGACTCAGATGGATCCCTGGTTTCCAAGTAGAAAGAGGCTAGATTTGAGCCTTGTCTAGCTGTTGGCCTTGGCCTGAACTGGAACCAGTCTCAGATGACCACGGGTTTAACCTTCTTATCCCAGAGACACCCAATTCTAGAGCTTTATGGAGCCATACTTCCTCCTGAATCCCAGATCTAGGACACAGAACATGACTCTCAGCCCTTTTACCCAGGATGGAGCTGGGGCCTGTATAGCCATATTATTGCTCTCAGTAAGTTCTAGCCCCACCCTCCCCCCTTCTTGAGTGATACCTATTACGGATGAGTTCTGGAAAAGACCCAGCTATGATTCATAAAAACAGTTCTGGATGAATCAAGAACCACTTCTTGTTTTTCCTAGATAATTCTCTAAAAATATGATTCTTCCATATAGAATGCTAAGCTTATTTTTACATGCAATTTCTAGCTACTTCAACCCAGCTGAGGTTGTGCCAGGGAGACAGAGTCTGGAGAAGGGCTGAGGAATTTTGGAAAGATCCCTGGCTCGTAGTAGGGAAGCTGGGATGGGGGAGGGGTCAAAATGATGACATGATTGCACCTGCATCTGTGTGGGGTGGATACGAACACTTAGCTACCTCAGCAGGAATTCCTTCCAGGCCCCCTTTAAAGCTGAGGTCCTTAAAGTAATGTGTCCTGAATAAGAAGGACAAATGGATACAGCCTCGACCCTCCCAGTGAGGAGACCCCAATTCAGCAATAAGTCTCACCCTTCTCCCCTATAGGTCAGGCCAAGGAGGGTGAAGGCCTCTTGCACTCCAGACCTCATATGCCCCGACAGCTTCTAATTGGATAGAACTTGCTTTACATTACAGCTTAGAACCTTAGCTGAGCTTTAGATACCCAAAAAGGGCCCGTCTAGATTTTTTCAGAAAAACATGGAGCGCTAGGGGCAGCCTGGAAAAAACTGGGAACCTGCTAGTGAACTAGGAGGGAGACTCCCATAGCCTCAGATTTGGATAGGGTAGGCTGAGGGGGCCCTAAGGGAGGGACTAGGGCTCCAAGGCAGGTCACTTTTCCTCAGGCTGTTCTACTTCCGGCTTGTTGCAAGAGGAGTAGATGTCCCCTCACCCACACAAACCCCGCTCAGGCTCCACCCAACTCCTGGGACTGCTCCCAGGGGATCGGGTCTCCACTCCACGCTTTCTCAATTAAAGACGACGTATACAACTAAAGTGCTGTCTGTCATCTGTTGGTGGCGGGCTTGGCAGTTGCTCGAGGCAGGATCAAGTCCCAGGGGCGGGGCGGGTGGGCTGGCGGCTGCCCCCAGCAACAGGTGCACATTCCCGGGCTCCTCGTCACTTCCCCTGTGCTGGCGGTCCCAGTGGCTCTCAGAGCGAAGTCACTGAGCGAGCCGCCAGGCTATGACCCCAGGGGCTCTGCTGATGCTGCTGGGGGCGCTGGGGGCGTCGCTCGCCCCAGGTAAGTGTAGGCCCTGAAGGAGCAGTGACAGGTCCAGCCGTTGTGGCCAGACACCAGGGCTGCACTTAGTCTCTCCTTCCCCAGGCGTCCGCGGCTCGGAGGCAGAGGGCCGACTCCGGGAGAAACTTTTCTCTGGCTATGATAGCTCCGTGCGGCCAGCGCGGGAGGTGGGAGACCGTGTCAGGGTCAGCGTTGGTCTCACCCTGGCACAACTCATCAGCCTGGTGAGGGCGCACGGCGGGGGTGGGGGAAGAGGTCAGGCCAGCCGACCAGCCGCGGGGGCGTGACTTTAGGAAAGGCCGGACCGGGGACAAACTGGGGGCGGGGCCTGGGACGAGACCAGGCTGAGAGGGACCAGCCTTCAGTGAAGACTGGGTCGAAATCAGACAAATGGACAAGCTCTGGCCGTGGCTGGTGGACGGGCCTGGAGTAGAGCCGGGTAGGGTGATGGACGGACCTGTGACCGGACCTTAAAGTGGAGCTGGGGACGAGGCAGGGGCTGGGGGATGGACCTCGAGGTAGGGCCATATGGGTCCTGAGTGCCCAGGGTGCTTGGTGCTCAGGGGTCAATAAATGGCAGCAGGTGGAGATTCATGGCTGGGTGGATTATGAGCTGAGGGCAGGGCCCGGGACAGAGCAAGGCGGAGGGCTAGGCAGGAGCGAATCTGGTAGGTTGATAGGCTGTGAGTGTAGACGGCTGGAAAGGGTGTTTCTGAGACACAGGCAGGTCTTAAACTAACGCTCCTTCTGGGATGTGGACTTGGACTCAAGAGGATGGGGCTCAGAAAAAGGGGGTGGGGTTCCCAGGAGAGGTTGGCCTTCCAGCCCCCTCATTTCTCTCCACCCTACTTCACCTTTACCCCTTAAATTTTTCCTTTCTAGAACGAGAAGGATGAAGAGATGAGCACAAAGGTGTACTTAGACCTGGTATGGAGACCCCGCAGGGTGGGAAAGGGCCTCCCGCTGCCTTAACAATTTTCTTGAATATCCAGCCCAGTAAGAATATTTTTTACATCACGACTTTAGATAACACGTGTACAACTGAAGCCAAAGTTCGAGGAAACAACACCTAACTTTACTACAGGAGTTGCACCCCATGCATTTTTTATTCTAATTTTGTGTGTGTGTGTGCGTGTGTGTGTGTATGTGACGTGGTCTCACTATGTTGCACAGGCTGGTCTTGAACGCGGGAGCTTGAGCTATCCACTAGCCTCGGGGGGAATCTCCCCAAGTGCTGAGATTACAGGCATGAGCCACTGCACCTGGCCCATTCTAATTTTTGAAACACTGGTTTGGGGCCACTAATTTGATTCCCCATTCACTAAAGGATTGCGAACTGCAGTTCGAAAACCACTGTTTTAGAGGCTAACTAGTGCAGCCTCCTCATTTTTACAGAGTAAAAAATTGAAACCCGGTGCGGGGGAAGGGAAATTAGCTGATGTGGATCCCAGCGAGTGAAGGCGGAGCCAGAGCCAGAACCCCGGCCCCTTGACCCACAGTTTATGCCTGCCCTGCTCCCCTTCCTTGCACTCCCTTCCTGGGCTTCCTTTGGAAATCCCTCGTCCCCTCCCGGCCTCCAACCCGGGACAGCCCCTCAGCTTCTGCTTCACTAGGAGTGGAATGACTACAGGCTGAGCTGGGACCCTGCGGAGCACGACGGCATCGATTTGCTCCGCATCACGGCGGAATCCGTGTGGCTCCCTGACGTGGTGCTACTGAACAAGTAGGAGACCTTCCAAAGCCCGGGAGGTGGCGCGGGGCCTCGCGGGGCGGGGCCTCCGGGCGCGGGGCCTGATTGCAGATGAGATCCCTTCTCTGCAGCAACGATGGGAATTTTGACGTGGCTCTGGACATTAACGTCGTGGCGTCCTCCGACGGCTCCGTGCGTTGGCAACCCCCGGGCATCTATCGCAGCAGCTGCAGCATCCAGGTTTCCCGGCTCTACATTGGAAGCTGAAGGAGCTCTTAGAAACCCTCCCTTTCCATAGACATCCTGACTCTCCAGCGACTCCCATCCTTCATCCTTCCCCCATTATCTAATCCCCATGACCTTCACCTCTTGTCTACCCTCCTGATTTTCCATTGAGTGTTCTGTACACTTTCTTTGGCTTCTAGTCTTACTCAGTGACCTCTCTCCCCACCCGCATTTTCTCCATGGCTTCCCTTCATAACCCTCCAATTCCTCCGTGATTCCCCTTCCCTGTGCCCTCCCCAAAAGCCTCCCAAACTCCATCAGCGCTGACTGATTCTCTGGCAGCTCTAGTGACTCTCCCCTCCATCCAGGTCACCTACTTCCCCTTCGACTGGCAGAACTGCACTATGGTGTTCAGTTCCTACAGCTACGACAGCTCGGAGGTCAGCCTGCAGACAGGCCTGAGTCCTGACGGGCAAGAGCAGCAGGAAATCCACATTCATGAAGGGACTTTCATTGGTGAGTGGGCATGGCTCCTACATCCATGGGCTCTATGATTTCCAGCTTCTAAGAGGCTCATAAATATCCTGTCAGGGATGACCAATACAGCCCTGTGGGGTAAGCAGGATGGGTATGGCTATCTACATTTTAAAAGTATGGGAATTGCCGGGGGCAATGACTCACACCTGTAATCCCAGTACTTCGGGAAGCCGAGGCAGGCGGATCATTTGAGGTCTGGAGTTCGAGACCACCCTAACATGGTGAAACCCCGTCTCTACTAAAAACACAAAAAATTAGCCATGCATGGTGGCGGACGCCTGTAATCCCAGTTACTCGGGAGGCTGAGGCAGGAGAATCGCTTGAACTGGGGAGGCGGAGGCTGCAGTGAGCCAAGATGGCACCAGCACACTCCAGCTTGGGTGACAGAGTGAAAATTCATCTCAAAAATATTTTTAAAAGGCAGGGTGTGGTGGCTCGCGCCTGTAATCCCAGCACTTTGGGAGGCCGAGGTGGGTGGATCACGAGGTCAAGAGATTGAGACCATCCTGGCTAACATGGTGAAACCCCATCTCTACTAAAAATACAAAAAATTAGCCGAGTGTGGTGGCGGGCACCCGTAGTCCCAGCTACTCGGGAGGCTGAGGCAGGAGAATGGCGTGAATCTGGGAGGTGGAGCTTGCAGTGAGCCAAGATGGTGCCACTGCACTCCAGCCTGGGCAACAGAGAGAGACTCCATCTCAAAAAAAAAAAAAAATTGAAAAACAAAATAGGCTTGGCACAGTGGCTCACGTCTTAATCTCAGTATTTTGGGAGGCTAAGGTGGGCGGATCACCTGAGGTCAGGAGTTCCAGACAACCCTGGTCAATATGGTGAAACCCCACCGCTACTAAAAATACAAAAAATTAGCCGGGTGTGGTGGCGGACGCCTGTAATCCCAGCTACTTGGGAGGCTAAGGCAGGAGAATCACTTGAACCTGGGAGGCGGAGGTTGCAGTGAGCCGAGGTTGCAGTGAGCCAAGATTGCGTCACTGCACTCCAACCTGGGCAACAAGAGCGAAACTCCGTCTCAAAATAAATAAATAAAAACATGGAAATTGAGACTTGCCCAAGTTTATTTGAGATGGGCTACTCAGCCCAGTGTCCACAGCTAGTCTCAAGTCAACCCTCTCAGATCTAGGCTGTGGCAGAGCAAGCCATACTTGGCACTAACGAGGACAGCTCCCATATCTGTGTCCCCCTCCTTCTCCTCCTCCCCAGAGAATGGCCAGTGGGAGATTATCCACAAGCCCTCTCGGCTAATCCAGCCTCCAGGTGATCCTAGGGAAGGGAGGGAAGGACAGCGCCAGGAAGTCATCTTCTACCTCATCATCCGCCGGAAGCCTCTCTTCTACCTGGTCAACGTCATCGCCCCATGCATCCTCATCACTCTTCTGGCCATCTTCGTCTTCTACCTGCCACCAGATGCAGGTAATGGGGGAAGGGGCTCCCACCCTTTTGTCATTGGCTCAGCTTCTTCCTTGTCACCCTTAATCCAGGCAGGATTTTCCTGCCAATCCAAAGCATCATAGATTGGGCTTCAGCAATCCCACCCATGCTCTGCCTCCCATTGACTGCCACCTTTCCTCCGCTCAGTGAAACTGGGACTCTTTCCCAATAGGAGTCCTAGCCTCTAATCCATAAAGCTTTTACTCCTCTGAACCACAAACCTCCAGGCTTAGATAACTCTCCCATTGCCTTTTCCTATTCCTAACATCCCCTGCCCACTGTCAGAACCCCAGTACTCCTTTATTTTTTTTTCGCTTTTTTTTTTTTTTTTGAGATGGAGTCTCGCTCTGTCGCCCAGGCTGGAGTGCAGTGGCCCGATCTCAGCTCACTGCAAGCTCCGCCTCCCGGGTTTAGGCCATTCTCCTGCCTCAGCCTCCCAAGTAGCTGGGACTACAGGCGCCCGCCACCTCACCCGGCTAGTTTTTTTGTATTTTTTAGTAGAGACGGGGTTTCACCGTGTTAGCCAGGATGGTCTCAATCTCCTGACCTCGTGATCCGCCCGTCTCGGCCTCCCAAAGTGCTGGGATTACAGGCTTGAGCCACCGCGCCCGGCCCCAAATTCCTTAATCTCTATGTGTCTCAGTTTCCTGACCTGGAAGTGGGCCAACCATTGTCCCTACTGCATAGAATTATTTGAGGATTGACTGAGTTAGTAGAACTATGCCTGGCACCCAGTAAGTTCTATGTAAGCATTGTGTTTTGGGTTGTTTTTTGTTTTTCTTTTTTGAACACTTGCTATAAGGTAATTCATTTAATATGGTACATGTACTAATTCTAATCTTTACAACAATCCTGTGAGGCAAGTAACGGATTGTCATCCTCATTTTACAGTGGAGGATAAAGAGGCTGAAAGAGTTTAAGTCATTTGCCTGAAATCATTACACAGTTAGAGAGGGAAAATGTTGCAGTTCCAACCTGGGTCAGTGGCAGCCTGATTCAGAGACCTGATATCCTTAACTCTAGTATTCAAAACATGTTTTCCTCCTCTCTGCCATCAAATCCTTTGTCTAAAGAAGAAGAGTGGGCCGGGCGCAGTGGCTCACACCTGTAATCCCAGCACTTTGGGAGGCTGGGGCTGGCGGATCACTTGAGGTCAGGAGTACTCAAGAAACAGAGAGGAGGCCAGTGGAACTGAATGAAGTAAGCAGAGGGGAAAGCAGCAGGAGATGAAGTCCAGGAGCTCATGGGAAGGACCTATAGACCATAATAAGGCCTTTGCTCTCATGCAGGAGATGGGGAGCCAATGGAAGATTCTGGAAAGAGGAATAATATGATCTGATTATATTTCTTTCTTTCTTTTTTTAGACGTAGTCCCGATTTGTCGCCCAGTCTGGAGTGCAGTGGCGTGATCTCGGCTCGCTGCAGCCTCCGCCTCCTGGGTTCAAGTGATTCTTCTGCCTCAGCCTCCCTAGTAGCTGGGACTACAGGCGCCCGCCACCTTGCCCGGCTAGTTTTTTGTATTTTTTAGTAGAGACGGGGTTTCACTGTGTTAGCCAGGATGATCTCGATCTCCTGACCTCGTGATCCGCCCGTCTCGGCCTCCCAAAGTGCTGGGATTACAGGCTTGAGCCACCGCGCCCGGCCATCTTGATTTATATTTTAACAAAATCAGTCGGGCTGCTCGGTTGAGAACAGTCAGCATGGGAGAAAAGGATGAAGCAAAGAGACCGTTAGGAGGGCTTTACAATATTCAGACCTAAGGTAATGTGCTTTGGAGCAAGGTGGTGATGTAGGAGGTGGGACTCGACTCCAGACCAAACTGAGGACTAGCTAGAACAGGAACAGGGAAGATGCAGCTTTCCATAAGACATACCCACAAGTGTGCCATGTCAGTTTACCATTGCCATGGGAACACCTGGGAGTTACCACCCCTTTCCATGGCAATCACCCGATGACACAGAAGTTACTACCCTTTCCCTAGAAAGTTCTGCCTAATCCATTGCTTAATCTGCATGCAATTAAAAGTAGGTATAGGCCAGGCACGGTGGTTCACGCCTGTAATCCCAGCACTTCGGGAGGCTTAGGCGGGCAGATCCCTTAAGGTCAGGAGTTCGAGACCAACTTGGCCAACATGGTGAAACTGTCTCTACTAAAAATACAAAAAATTAGGCAGGCGTGGTGGCATGCACCTGTAATAACAGCTACTCGGGAGGCTGAGACAGGAGAATTGTTTGAACCCAAGAGGCAGAGGTTGCAGTGAGCCGCGATCACGCCACTGCACTCCAGCCTGGGTGACAGAGTTAGACTCTGTCTAAAAATAAATAAATAAGAGATAGGGAAGACTATGGGAGGAGTAGCTTTGGTAGTAAGAGAATTTAGTTTTGGTCATTTTGTTTTATTTTGTTTTTGTTTTTGTTTTTTGAGACAGAGTTTCACTCTTGATGCCCAGGCTGGAGTGCAATAGTACAATCTCGACTCACTGCAACCTCTGCCTGCCAGGTTCAAGTGATTCTCCTGCCTCACCCTCCCTAGTAGCTGGGATTACAGGTGCCCACGACTACGCCCAGCTGATTTTTTGTATTTTTTGTATTTTTAGTAGAGATGGGGTTTCACTATGTTGGCCAGGCTGGTCTCGAACCCCTGACCTCAGGTGATCCAACCGCCTCGGACTCCCAAAGTGCTGGGCTTACAGGTGTGAGCCACTGCGCCCGGCTCAGTTTTGGACATGTTAAGCTTGAAATATTTATTAGACATCCAAGTATCCAAGAGAGGTTGAGTAGGCAGATGGATATATATCTGGCATTCAGGGGAGAAGTCCAGGGTGGACATACAAATGTAGGAATGATTTGCATGCAGATGGCCCTTTCAAAAGCTTGTTTCTTTCTTTTTTTTTTTTTTTCAGATGGAGTTTTGCTCTGTTGCTCAGGCTGGAATGCAGTGGCGCAATCACAGCTCACTGCAACCTCCATCTTCCATGCTCAAACAGTCGTCCCAACTCAGCCTCCCAAACAGTTGGGACCACAAGCATGTGCCATTGTGTCTGACTAATTTTTTTTTTTCGTTTTGTAGAGACTGGGCACAGTGGCTCACGTCTGTAATCCCAACACTTTGGGAGGCCAAGGCGGGTGGGTCACTTGAGCTCAGGAGTTTGAGACCAGCCTGGGCAACATGGTGAAATCCTGTCTCTACAAAAAGTACAAAAATTAGCTGGGCATGGTGGCATGCACCTGTAGTCCCAGCTACTCAGGAGGCTGAGGTGGGAAGACCACTTGAGCCTGGGAGGTGGAGGTTTTGATGAGCCATTATCATGCCACTGCACTCCAGCCTGGGTGACAGAGCAAGACCCAGCCTCAAATTTGTTTTTGCAGAGATGAGGTCTCCCTATGTTGCTCAGGCTGGTCTGAAACTCCTGGGCTCAAGCAATCCCTCCTCCCACCTTGGCCTCCCAAAGTGCCAGGACTACAGGTGTGAACCACTGTGCCTGGCTGCAGAAACCTGTCTTTGAATGGCCTGGAAACATGGTCACTGATTATGCCATAGAGCTTTCCTTCTGGCAAAGTCTAATCCTTCTTTCTTCCTCTCTGCCCTCCAAGGAGAGAAGATGGGGCTCTCAATCTTTGCCCTGCTGACCCTTACTGTGTTCCTGCTGCTACTGGCCGACAAAGTACCTGAGACCTCCCTATCGGTACCCATTATTATCAAGTACCTCATGTTTACCATGGTCCTCGTCACCTTCTCAGTCATCCTTAGTGTCGTGGTTCTCAACCTGCACCACCGCTCACCCCACACCCACCAAATGCCCCTTTGGGTCCGTCAGGTGAGAAAGATCTCCTCCTCCAACCCCAACTTTCCTTTTACAGACCATAGGGAGAACTATAGCTATGTGGTAGAGTGTTGAAGTGCCCAAGCCTGTTAGGTGTTGAAATGTTGCAGTTAAGCTGGCCCCTATCATTATCATTTCACAGATCCCTTCCTCTCTTCATCAGTACTGCTCATCTCGGGTCCCAGGGAAATATTCTTAGGGTTAGGTACTATCAGATTGGAAGCCCACTCTTTCCAGTTGGGATACCTCCCAACCCACTGAAGAGGTTTTTTGTTTGCTTGTTTGTTTGTTTTTTTGAGATGGAGTTTTGCTGTTGTTGCCCAGGCTGGAACGCAATGGCACAATCTCAGCTCACTGCAACCTTCATCTCCCAGGTTCAAGCGATTCTCCTGCCTGAGCTTCTGAGCTTCACGAGTAGCTGGAATTATAGGCACCCGCCACCACGCCAAGCTAATTTTTGCATTTTTAGTAGAGAGAGGGTGGCACCATGTTGGCCAGGCTGGTCTCGAACTCCTGACCTCAGGTGATCCTCCCGCCTCAGCGTCCCAAAGTGCTGGGATTGCAGGCGTGAGCCACCGCGACTGGCCCAACCCACTAAAGAGCTCTTAGGTCTGTGTGGCTGCATTTCCTGGCGTAGCTCGTTTGTGGAAGAATGTGCACGCACATACGCGCGGGAATGGGCATGTGGAGTGGGGTGGTTGGCTGTTTCCCTTCTGGTCTGAAAGCATGAAAGCCCCCACCAATACGCCTCTTCTACTCTGCAGATCTTCATTCACAAACTGCCGCCGTACCTGGGTTTAAAAAGGCCCAAGCCCGAGAGAGAACTGATGCCGGAGCCCCCTCACTGTTCTTCTCCAGGAAGTGGCTGGGGTCGGGGAACAGATGAATATTTCATCCGGAAGCCGCCAAGTGATTTTCTCTTCCCCAAACCCAACAGGTAGGACCACGCCCATTACCCACATAAAAGGGAGAGGGAGAACTACAGTTCCCAGAAGAATGTGCGGAAGAAGCGGCCCATGCTCCCGGAAGATGCTGTGGTTGAGCATCATGGGAGTTGTAGTACCCCTGCTGCTCACATTGAGGGGAGGTGGGAACTAAAACAGAGGCGGTGGAAGAAGTTGCACAAGGTTAGAGAGATCACTGCTGTCGGGGAGAGCGTGAAGGGCACTCTCGGGTTTTGAGAACTGGCAAGTTGTTGGAGGCAGCTGGAGCGGGGCCTGGGTCGCTGGCATTGGCTGTCTTTGCGTCTGGGCGTGGCCAGTCACTCCTCTTCCAGGTTCCAGCCTGAACTGTCTGCCCCTGATCTGCGGCGATTTATCGATGGTCCAAACCGGGCTGTGGCCCTGCCTCCGGAGTTACGGGAGGTTGTCTCCTCTATCAGCTACATCGCTCGACAGCTGCAGGAACAGGAGGACCACGATGCGGTATGTCCAACGGGAGTGGAACAAGGCCAGGCGTAGGCGACCTTGGCCCCACCCCCCAAATTCCGCACCAGCACTCGCTTTCGTTTCTTTCGTTTTTTTTTTTTTTTTGAGACAGTCTCACTCTGTCGCCCAGACTGGAGTGCAGTGGCGCGGTCTCGGCTCACTGCAACCTCCGCCTTTCGGGTTCAAGCAGATTGTCCTGCCTCAGCCTCCCGAATAGCTGGGACACAGGCGCACGCCACCACGCCCGGCTAATTTATTTATTTATTTATTTTAGACAGTCTCGCTCTGTCACCCAGGCTGGAGTGCAGTGGTGCGATCTCGGCTTACCGCAAGCTCCTCCTGCCGGGTTCACGCCGTTCTCCTGCTTCAGCCTCCCGAGTAGCTGGGACTACAGGCGGCCGCCACCACGCCTGGCTGGTTTTTTTTGTTTGTTTGTTTGGGGGTGTTTTTTTTGCTATTTTTAGTAGAGGCGGGGTTTCACTGTGTTAGCCAGGATGGTCTCCATCTGCTGACCTCAGGATCCGCCCGCCTAGGCCTCCGAAAGTGCTGGGATTACAGGTGTGAGCCACCGCGCCCGGTCTTGCTTTCGTTTCTGATTGGACATCTTCCTAATTTGGTCCCACCCCCTGCTTACCTACTGGTTCTTTATGCCCATGCATTGCCTGCAGTCTTGCTCTCCTATTGCGCTGCTGGCTTTTCCCTCAAACCGGTGGTAGGAGGACCCAGGCGGGTACAGGTTGGGGAAATGGGAAGGTTTCCCTGGGGGTCTGGGCCCAAAGCTCAGGAAGTTTCCTTTGCCTACCCACAGCTGAAGGAGGACTGGCAGTTTGTGGCCATGGTAGTGGACCGCCTCTTCCTGTGGACTTTCATCATCTTCACCAGCGTTGGAACCCTAGTCATTTTCCTGGACGCCACGTACCACTTGCCCCCTCCAGACCCCTTTCCTTGAAGACTGGAGGGTCGAGACCCAGGCCCTCTACCAGTTGAAGTGAGAGTTTGGTGATACTGTCAAGCCATATCCTTCTCTGCCTCTTAACTCCTTCACTAGGAATCCAGGCCTCTTATTTCGTTTCTGGGGACTGCATTGGACTGAGGGCTGGGTAGGCAGGTGTCTTGGACCCACCTGAAATGCACTATCATCTGATTTCCTCTTTGGGATCTTGAAGAAGCTCTTTTGGGTATCAACACCTAGGTTGCCAGTGAAATAGAACAAAGAACAGGAACTAGATTGTAAGCCTTATGAGGTCAAGAAATGTGTCTTGTTCACTGTAACATCCCCAGCGCCATGCACAGGTCCTGACCTATAGTAAGTGCTTAACATTTGTTGAATAGGGGAAATAAATTTCTGGAAGTAAATACAGCAATTAATAATGTTTATAAGCTGGGCATGGTCGCTCAGGCCAGTAATCCCAGTGACTTGGGAGGCTGAGGTGGGAGGATTACTTGAACCCCACAGTTTGAGACCAGCCTGGGCAACATAGTGAGACTTTGTCTCTAAAAAAATAAAAATAGAAATAAAGTAGCTTATTGTTTGCATGTCGGGTCTTGTGGTCATTTTCTTTTTAACTTTTTGTAATTTATTATGTTTTGTAATGTGTACTATCTTTAGGATTAAAAAAAAAAGTTATTTCTACAAGCATGCATTGGTAATGAGAAAAAGCAGCATTTTCAAGACCTTCATTCAAGTTCCAGCCTTGGTGCTCACACAAGCCACTAGACTGCTCTGTACTTGTTTCCACATCTGTAAAATGAAACTAGTGATAGCATGTGCCCTATAGGACTGTCTGGGGATCACATGAGAACATGGGAAAAAAGCACTATGCGGTGTGTATCAGAGGTTGCAACGGTGTGTTTTTTGTTTGGCCTGCAGAGTTTTAAATTTGCACTAGTTCACTAATTTTATTTATTTTTTTGAGACAGAGTCTCGCTCTGTTGTCCAGGCTGAGTGCAGTGGTGTGATCTCGGCTCACCACAACCTCCGCCTCCCGGGTTCAAGTGATTCTTCTGGCTCAGCCTCCCGTGTACCTGGGACTACAGACACGTACCACCATGCCCAGCTAATTTTTGTATTTTTAGTAGAGATGGGGTTTCACTATGTTGGCCAGGCTGGTCTCGAACTCCTGACCTCATGATCTGCCTGCCTTGGCCTCCCAAAGTGCTGGGATTACAAGCGTGAGCCACCACGCCCAGCCACTAGTTCACCACCATTTATTTATTTTATTTATTTATTTATTGGAGATGGAGTTTTGCTCGTTGCCCAGGCTGGAGTGCAATGGCGCGACCTCGGCTCACTGCAACCTCCAACCTCCGCCCCCGCC